AAAGTGCGTATCCTGTTTCAGTCTCCTTTAGATTGAAGCAGGATCCAACTTTTCACCCTCCTCTTAAGACTAGTTTGATGCCTCAGCCATGAAGGGAAAACGGTGCTGGCAGACGAATCTGTGCTTATGCACGCTCACCTGGGTTTTTCAAGGAGTAGCTAGACCCAGGGTTGAAAATATCATTGCTTTAATGTTGGAGACTAAGACCCTCCACATCCCAACGACTTGTCCTACGCACACATGGGCCTCACCTGAAAATAGCCTAAGACGAAAATAGCACCCAGCCCTCCAGCTATAGTTCCGAGAAGAATGCATTCCATGAAGTGCTTGCTCCAGGGCATGCTACCTGCAATTGTTCCCGACCCCCTGCCAGGTTGGGGTTGAGTGATCAATCACAAACAGCTTCGGATGCCATTGGGATGCTGATTGGGGCTGATTGGCCCACAGGCAAGCCTCATCATCCCCCCACTCTATTTTTCTGTTTCTACTTCCTTGTTTTCTGTATATAAAACCTACTAAAAATCCAAGTAAAGTAGACCTTGACAACCATTTGCTTGGTCTTGTTCCTCTCTCTCACCCATCTCTTTCAGGCACGGTCCCCCTCGCCCCCCGCGAGTCACAAAAGGTCCCGCGGGCCGGGACACTTTAAGTGTTCTTTCACCATTACTTCACCATCCTCAAAGACACCAGGCTTTTCACCAGCATTTTTAGAGGAGTGGGTTCCTTAGCTCACAGCCTAAGATGATTCTCTTCCTGATTTCTATGTTGAGGCCAAGCTAAGGACCTATTTCGAAGAAGTCAGCCCTAGAGCCTTTAAAATAACCATTCTTTAAAGAATTATCTCCCCATTGGTCACCATTACTTCAAGAACAGTGGCTGCTAAAAAATACAATAAAAATAAAAAATATAAAAAAATTAAAAAAAGATTTTTTTGAAAGAGATCATAGCAAAACTGAGAGGAAGGTACATCCACTGACCCCATTCATGCATAGCCTCTCTGATTTCCCCTTCACCCTATTCATGCTTAAAACAGATAATTCTGCTACCAAATGACAGCCTCAAATTATCTGAGAATAGCTATACTGACCTCTGCCCCAATTCACCTTCTCCCCACATGAGCCCACTGGGAGTCCATCCACAGTGAAGATGCTCTGCTCTGGGACACTTGGCAGGGCCCAGGGTGGGCACCCTCTTGTCACAAGGCTTTCCTACCCTTCTTATCTGTTATCATCTCTACAGGAACAAGAAAAATCCCTGATCTCCCTGCCCCTATAAGGACTGAAGCAAAACAGATATCGGGATAGAAGGAATCTAAGTCAAAGGACATGAGCCCATGCTAATCCCACTGATTCCAGTTTCCATTATTTTCTTAGGAGTTATTGAGTGCCGTTTATGACTGGGGTGCAGGTGTTTAAGATTCCCATCTCACACAGCCAAAGTCTTAGCACATGATGCCAAGGGATGCTGGATATCTGACTCCTCAAAGCCTTATGGTTGGAGTTCAATGCCTTGGGAAATTAAGCATTGTCCAGCAATAGTCTTCCAGGAGGAGAAACCTGAAACAAGGGAATATAAAATATATCTAAATCTTCACAATCATATATTGAGGTTTTGGCAAATGATTCAGCATAGAGAATATGGAGAGAATTATGTAGTCATTGGTCCCATGGTCACTCATCCTGCCATTGTACCCATCTTTCTATGGGTAAAATGCTCTCAGCAGATCAGCAGGTTTCTGCAATACCTGATTTTATGGAAAGTCCCAAAGGGCTGGCTGCAATGATCCAGATCTTCTGCTTTGTTTGTGTATATTTCCTGTGTTGTTCCCAATTTCTTGGACAGACACAGAGAAACTAAATAGCAAAGGGTGTCTGCACCTGAGAGATAATAATATTATTATTTAAAATTCACGGTTCAAAACCACAATTACTTTTCAACCAACCTAATATCATACCAAGACTGAAGGACACATAGGGGATGTGACATAGAGTCCTTAGGCCTGAAGGACTAACTAGAGTTTCATTTCCAAACGCAACTCCTTGTTAGTATACCTGACCTGAAGTTTGAGATAGAAGGAAAAAGAGAAATGTCCATGAGTTTTGCAATAATATGTTGGAGGTTCTGGTAAATGACTCAGCAGCACCCCTCTTACTTACCCCCAAACTAACCCTTTGCCATATCTTGTGCAGATGTGGTAATAATGCACACAGCATGAGCCTCTGAGCAAGACAGTAAGAGATAGCCCTTCCTTCCAGAAGGCTAAGGGATGAAGTTAGGGCCCCATGGAAATAAAATGCTTTAGGAAAGGGACATAGCATTGGAGGGTTAAGTTCGAGGGATATAAAACTCTCCAGGTGGGGTCTTGAGAATGACCCAAGGTCACATCGAAGGTGACACCACAACCCAGAACATGGCTCCCTTTGGCTCACTCCCACCCAGAAATCCAGTCAACACCTATTTATTCTTCTAAGTCTGCATTGTTACACTTGCTCCCAGTTTGTGGGAGTGTGTACGCTGTTGTCACCCCAACCCACGTCACCTCTCCTCTCCTCTGCAGGCCTCTTTCTACCCACCCCAGACATTTACCCATGCCAGTGTTTCACTGAATTATCCCCAACCCAACATCCAGCCCTTGTTCTTCCCCATACTTTTTTTATTAGTGGTGATGGCTGGACAATGATTAGAGTAGGTGACAAAAAATTTTTAAAGGATATTCTAGTGGATATCAAAACTTTGGGAGGCTAAGATATATATATATATGTCCTCTAAACATTTTTATCTACCCATCCTTATTATTACAGAGGCAAAATGAAAGTACCACAATCCCCCGGTTCTATATAACCTAGGTTCTCCTTTACTGATGGGTTTTTTCCTCACAATTGTTCTTTATGTCATATAGACATCCCAGAAGTTCTGACTAGCGTCCCAATCCAGTAGGAACATAGAGATAACTCCTAACTGAGACACAAATTTCTTCTCCGAAATATCTGAGTCTCTGAGTCAATGAAATCAGCAAGTTCAGCTAGGACAAAATTTGGGCCCCTTATACCTATAGGTTCTGATTTTGCCATGGCTTAAATGAATGATCAGGCTCAGGGAAATCAAATTACAACAGCAGACTCAAATGCCACATCTAAGGGTGGGAATGTCCTATCATGGCCATGTTCTCTTTGACCTACATGGTCTGGCCCTGCCCACTTCCAGCAGGGACTAGATGTGGTTCCTTGAGAGGCTAATGTCTAAGGGGATTGTCTCTCAGGAACAAGGCATGAAACTCTCTTACATATTGAGAGAGAATGTCAGGGAAATAAAGAATAAAAGCAAAGGAAGTGTGTGATCTAAATAGACTTTTCCATCACTGCATGGTAGACACTGAGGTACCTTTTGCTCTAAGAGAAACAGAGCATATATCAGAGATAGAAACAAAACTTCTATTCTTCAGCACTCCTTGAACGTTTCCCTAGGATCCTTGAACAATGCAGGAGAGGATGAAGTTTGTAGAGCTCTGGCTAAGATCACAAGCTCTGGAATCAGATCCCTGCACTCCAACCCTGTGCCCCTTCACTCCTATACGCTGAGTGACGTGGCGACAAGGCCCTAACCTTCTCAGCCTCTTAGCTTTTTCATCTGTGAAATATAGGAAATATCAGTATGTGAAGCAGGGGTTGAAGTGAGGAACTGTGGTCAGCAATCAATAAACATTACCTGCTACTGTAATGTTGGGTATTGTTTTCTCATTCATTCAACAAACTAATCATATCTGCTTTCCCACCTACGTTTTTTACAAATTTTTACTTAGACACAGATTCTTAAAATTACAAGTCCCACATGGTCATCATCATTTTTTAGTTTGGCTTCCCTTGTCGCTTTGGTCCCGTCTAGAAAGACAATTTAGTCTCTCCACTGAGCCTTTTTCTGGGTAGGGTTCTTTATGTAAAAGGCACTTGTATCCAGATAATCTTTCCTGCATGTCTGCCACCTCAGTAAGCTTTCTTCTCCTTTAAATTTTTATTACTGCGTCTACATATCAGGTGACTTTCCTACAAAACCTTGACTTTTGACCAGTTACTAAAGTTAAAACAAAATTTCTCCCAAATTCCCAACTCTCTCCATTCTCATCCTAATCAGCATCTTATGTCACAATTGTTAGGGGAACAGCCTAAGTCTTGAAGAACCAATTCAAGAGAGGGGAACAAGAATGAAGGTGGTGGGAAAGGACAGGGCCTGAGATCTCAAGATTTTATGTTGTAATCTGTAATCTTTCCTTTCTGTGTAAGGAGCTGGTGCTTTCAAAAGTAACTAAAGCAAGGGAGTGAATGGTTAATAAAAGTTAAGAGGGAGGGTTTTGTTAAAAACATTGAGAAGAAAGGTAGACTCTGTCACACTGAGCATTTGTAATTAAAGCAGAGATGTTCCAAATCCCCTAGGAAGGAAGCTATGATGATGAATGAGATGCCAGTTGGATCTAATACATAGTCACCATGCTCTGTTAGCTAGCTGTGCATGTTTGCTCTATCATGGTCCTGCCCAACCTGTGCCTTGTCAGAGTCTTCTCCACCAGAGGTCATCTCTCTAAGGAAAGGAGAAACATCTCCAACATCCTTGATTCTAGCACAAGAGAAGGGCCCAAACACACACCTGCTAAAGAAATCATCTGTCATCCTTAGCAGCATGGCCATGGAGGCGCTGGTGGTTCTATCACCGGGAACCTAGGTTTCGGGGGTTCCACTACCTCTACTGGCCAATACCACATCCTACAGTCCCCACCCCGTACACTGGGTTCCCTCTCTGGGCGGGAACCCAGGGTCACTCTGAGTCACCAGCTGTGGCTACTCCTCTGGTCACCACATATTTTCACAACTACCTAGAAGGCGTTATCAGGTAGAGGCAGTGGGGTGAGGAGCTTTCATAGAAAACCTTCTGTGATGAAACACCACAAAACCAGAGATAACGTGGGGTCACTGAGCCCACCCCACCTCCTTCCTCTTGAGGGGGATAAAAAGGAGCAAGGAGGGCACACCAGCAGCTCCGACCTGGGCAGCCTTCCTGATGCAGCTGCTCCTGCTCCTGCTGGCCTTCTTCCTGCCCCCCGGGGCACAGGCAGGTGAGTGACTGTCCCCAGGCCCAGAGGCCCAAGCCCATCCCACAGATCTCCTGCCCCTTCTGCACCTGCCTGATCCTTCTATCTACCAAGGATATTCTGAACCCCAGCTCCAGTCCCTCTGCAGACCCCCCAAGCACGATGCTAGATGAGCTCTCAGCAGGAATGCCAGGGCACCAGACTGTTCTCAGGAAGAGCCAGTGGGCACCATCCCCTCAACAGGCCTCACCCTTGTCATCTGGAAGCGTGTGGCAGAGGGTGGGAACCTGGAAATGAGAAAATAACAAATTTTCCTAGAGGTGGCAGGGTGGGCCCCACTTCTGCGTCTGGGGTAAAGACGTGCTTCCCTCACTGTCTGTCAGAGAGAAGCCAGAGGTCAGCTGACCCAGAACTGCTGGAATCACTGGCCTCCAAACACAGTTTTGTCTTTGCTTAGTCTCAAGCCACCCCGTCCCTTTATTCCCAGGCCTTTGGTGACTCCCTTCTTTCCAAGGATGAGCCGCTGTGGCAGATCCCAGCTTCTGTGCTTTCCAGAATCCCACAGCACTGTCCTACCCACCCGCATCCAGAGGCCAACTAGCGCCATTCCTTCGCGCAGCCACCAAATAATCATTGAGCACCCACTGCATGTCAGGCCCTGGGAACTAGGATGTGACAATATCTAGATCCCTAAACTTACATCCTGGCCATTAGAGACAGCGCTATCCTCACTATCACAGGACTCATCGGGGTCTTGGGAACTCACTTGGAGCAAAGAAAAGTCAGGAGGGAATGATCAGGAGCCTCTGGGATTTCACTGTGTCTGCGAGGTCTGCTCCCCCAGCTATGTGTGGAAGAAAGATTTAGAGACCAAGGACAGTTGTTCTTCCCTTTTTCAGAGGAGGAAGTTGAAGCCCCTTCCCCCAGGCGCCTCTAAATCCAGGCTGCCCCCAGCTCCCAAATGCCCAGCCCTTCTGGAGCCACAAAGCAGATGCCCAGCCAGTGGCCTCAGAGGGTGCACACAGGCAGACACTCTTTTCTTTCAGAGGAGATCCTGGGTGGCCATGAGGCCAAGCCCCACTCCCGCCCCTACATGGCCTTTCTTCAGTACTCTGTTCAGGGAATTCCGAAGATATGTGGCGGATTCCTGATCCGAGAAGACTTCGTGCTGACGGCCGCTCACTGTTGGGGAAGGTGAGGACAAAATTTCCACACCCTCCTGCGAATACTCCACAGACACCACTGTCTGGACACATGTGCAGGGCGCTTCATGGAGAGAGAGGGTGGGCGAGTAAGTCCCGTGGAGGGAGAGGAAGTTTAGCATCACAGGCACTGCTGAGGACAGAAAAGACCAGAGTGATCACGCCTGTCATATGCAGAGCTGGAGACATGCTTCAGCATGAGAATGGAAACCAAAGCAGTCTCACCTGTTTCCCCAAGGGAAGCTGATGCCTGAGAACCACTAGTGCAATTAGCAGAATGCTACCTCCTGGGACACTCCTATCCCCTCAGTTTGGCCTCAGCTGCAGCCCTGCCCTGCCCTGGCTGTCACCTGCTCATCATGGCTCTTGGGCTGTACCCCTGTGACTCTAAACACCCTCAACCCCTCTCTGCTGTCCATGCAGCTCCCTTACGGTCACCCTGGGGGCCCACAACATCAGGAATCAGGAGAAGACCCAGCAGGTCATCCGTGTGAGAAGAGCCTTCCACCACCCAGCATATAATTCTAATGATTATTCGAATGACATCATGTTGCTGCAGGTGAGGCAAATCCTGCTGCTCTCGCTCTGCTGGTCCAGTTGCCCCTCCGGCTTTGACACTGTCTCTTCTTCCCTCCTTCCATCTGGCCACGTGGCCAGTCCCTGTGCCTCAGAGGAGAGAGGGGACAACTCAGCCCCAGCATGGTGCCCAGGCCCAAGAGGCCACTGGCTAACCTGAACTTTCTTGCCTCTTTCCCACCAGCTAGCGACAAGAGCCAGGCTGACAGCAGCTGTGCGGCCCCTCAAGCTGCCCATGAACAACGTTCAGGTGACGCCAGGGAAGAACTGCAGTGTGGCCGGCTGGGGCGGGACTGACCTGGTGGGCAGAGGCTCAGACACGCTGCAGGAGGTGATGCTGACCGTGCTGCACGACAGGACGTGCCAATCACTCTTCAACCACAATTACCACAAGGCCATCGAGATTTGTGTGGGGGATCCAAAGATAAAGAAGTGTTCTTTTCATGTGAGACTATGCATGTGCTGCCTAGGCTGTGGGGAGAAGGAAGTTTGGGGATGGCCAGGGACCTGGACACCTAAGCAGTGGGAGGCACCCTCTCCCACCAGACTGTGATCTCTCTCTTGGAATGAGAAGAGGGGAGCAGCCCAAGCTGGCTGGGGCGCCTGCATGCTCCCCAGGGGATCTCTGGCAAATGTTGCTCCTCTGGAAGGATAATTTTGCAACATTCCGCCCCACCCTAGCTCATAGGTATTAAAAAACTGTGCTTCCTGGGGTTGCAATAATTATAACCAGGTGGCTCCTTGGAGCTGGCACCCAATGTTGTTAAAGGGCTCGTCCTCCAAGGTGTCAGCCCTACTTCCCTCCCTCTGTGTCCTTCAACAGTGACCTGGAGCCAAATGTCCCACACACCTTTATAAGGAGGGGACCCCAGGGCCTGGGGGAGAGGACCTAGGCTGGCCCCTGGGCTGAGGTGAAGCAGTAACAACGTCCAGGGTCACAGCTTGGGAGCTGAGGGCCAGGGCCTGTCCTGCCCTCTGGTTTCCAATGCTGGCCATGCACGTTCCCTTCCCTGGAATGGGGCTTGAGATGGCAGGGACCGAGGGAGCACCAGCTCAGTCCTCCCCCTCTGTTCACAGGGGGACTCTGGAGGCCCTCTGGTGTGTGACAATGTGGCCCAGGGCATCGTCTCCCATGGATACCCAAATCAGACACCTCCATGTGTCTTCACAAGGATCTCGAGTTTCCTACCCTGGATAAAGAAAACCATGAAAATGCTCCAACTGCGGAAAGCAGCCTCACCCGCTTTGTGACTGGCCAAGTTCTCTGGACCTGAGCCCACATTCACACTGCGGGAGGGAGGTGCCAGCAGCTGAATAAATGTACCCTAGCAAAATGGGAAGGCTGGTTTGTCATTTATTCATTGACCTCATTCACAGGTACCAGCTCTGTGCTAGGCTGGCCAATGACACAGTTCTGCTGCTTCCTGCTTTCTCCTCTTCCCTCTCCCCTCACCAACCCCCAATCCCAGAAAAAAGGAGAGACCCAGCT